GTCTACAAAAAAACTTTATTATTTTTGTTTATTATTATTTCATATTGTAGAAGGCTACAATATGATGAAAAGATACAAAAAGCAATTTAAGATTTGATATTTTCCCTTAATAATAAAAGAAATTAAAGTTTTTTTTTATATTCTCAATAAAATTTCCGTTAAATATTCGGCTTTGCGAGAGTTGCATGACCTTCCCCACAAACGGATCCCAGACAAATCGATGCAGTGAAAAATACATTTCAAAGTGTTTCACAAAGGCTATAAATATTTTACAGTCAAGAGTGTGGAGCAACCGTGTGTGACAGGAAAGCATGTATCTTCTTAAACACGCCTCGAAACTTCCAGCGGGATCCTAACATCCACGCTCAATGTATGCGGTGTAACGGAATGGTATGATCTACAATGTTGCCGCACTAACGAAAAGTACAATAACTCGACTTTTGTCCATTTTAAGTTATATATAATAATAAATATTTCGAACACTTACACCGATTAGCCTAGCCCCAAAGTAAGCACTATAAGGCTTGTGTTATGGAATACTAGGGTAACGGATATAATACATATACTGTACATATATAAGTATATTTTATACAAACCACTCGGCCACGGAAGTCGTCAATATATAGGTTTATTATATAAACTCTCGGTAACAAAAGTATGTAGTTCAATATTTTTAGCCCGTTCTTCTCAGAGGTGGTAAATTCGAGTTTTCTGAATCTTCGTTAGCATGGCAAAATGGAAAAAGTGGCTTGTCAGTCACTTTCGGGCGATTTTCGCTTGACTTCCATTACAAGTTCAAAACAACGCCAAGAAACTCTTTTAGTCATAATAAATAAATATATCAATAACTCACACCAATTAGACTAGGCCCAAAGTAAGCACTATAAGGATTATATATTGGGATACTAGGGTAACTAATAGAATAAATACACTGACACTTAAACAGTATATTTATCTAGTAATACATATACTACGCATATATATACATGAAACATCCATGACTAAGGTACAAATGCTCATATTCATCATACAAACATTTGCCCCACCGGGATTCGAACCCAAGGACTCTGAGTAGGTAACACCTTGAACCCTGGCGTACAGCCGAGTCACACCAGGAAGATCATCCAATTAGTAATTAATTATAGGAGAAAAACTCCAAATGGTCATCGTCTAAAATCAAGTTATTTGATGATTAATAAAAATGGTCTGATTCTTTCAATTTGATGACTAACCAAGCTTGTTATTATTTTAATAAAAAAATATCTGATGTTTATCATGCGAAATGATCAATCATGAATCATCAAGCAGAAAACCAATTTAAAAGGAAAGGTATAATTTTGGACTGGCCAAGTGAGAGTCAGCCTCGAGAACTTAGGATACCATAGCTACCTAAGGCTGAAAATAGACTTCCTTTACATCTACTTTTTTTACTACTTTGGAAATACTCAACTTTTTTTTACACTCGCTTGACCGAAAATTTAATAACAGGCTTCTAAAATATTGTTTTTTTAAACTATATTTCTATTTAGAACACAAAAAATAACCAAAACAAACGTTTACCAAACATATTTAGCTTGACAAATGATTGGGTACTCTAAAGGGTTAAATGATTTCATTATGCGTACAGAATTCGAGTCGGGGCCCACCTTATTTGATTGCCACTGACACCCTTGCAAATGATACGTTAGGTGTCGTAGATACTACGAGAACAAATTGAATATCTGTGTTTAGTGAGGGCATATAAATATATGTATGACTTTCGAGTGCTTTGACATTTAACATGGGCGCAAAGTTTGGGACTGTAAGTCGATCGTAATTTGCTAGATTGGAGGTCCTGGGTTTTGACGAAGTATCTTCAATCCTACAGAAGAATATTTTGTAATATTTCATCAGTGGGAAATAATCTCCAAACCGTGGCAATAGACGTTTTAGAACAGTATTAGTTATTCATACTGATACTCTTTCAAAGAAGCTTGTGTATTTTAATATTATAATCGTTGGAAATTGCGTAAATTTTAAATTTCGGTCTTTCGATTTTCCTTCCCGTATCCTTGTTCCCCAATACGTACCTATAACATAGAGATTAAAGCATTATTTGAGTTTCCTGCTCTAAAGACGTCATTGTTAAACGTTATTGCTTTAATTATCAGTATAAAAGTACTATCATGTATGTGGTAGAATACCATATTTATTTATTGCGCTATCTTACACAAACATGACAATTTATATAAAATAAAAAAAGTTTATCTTTCAGAAAAATCAACTTACATGAATCACGTTTAAGCTCACTTGGCGACATCTATTGTAAAAAAATGCATTTTCTTCGCAACAAAGCTGCCACGTGGACGTCCTAGATAGAGACTTATTATTATAATACAGTAAAATAAAATATTACTATGTTTCGTCCAATATATTGAAAGTCAACTACCTTTCCAATTTTATTGTGTGTCATGATGCGATCAGCCCACGTGTTTAACCTGAAGCGAGTTTAACATTTTTTACCCATACAAAAAAAGTGTACAACGCCGCTAAATAAGTTTTCACTTAAATAATATATTATTTTATTTCCTTGCACTTAACTAGTTTGATAGAAGATTTATTCTTCTTTTTACGAGACTATGGTTAGGTTTTTCACAAAATAGGAAAATTACAAAAATTAATTAAACGAAATAAAATTACCGTAGGAAGGGCCCCAGGAATCGTGTGCTCGTAATTTTGAACTTTCGAACAATATATATGTACAAGCATACAATATATACAACCTCCGTAAATGCATTTTTTGAGCAAGTGTATTGAAAAGGAGCATAACTTACACTTAAGCGAGACGTCACATCATCCTTAAGTATAAATATAACGTTAGTGTATTTATTATAATCTTTTTTCTGTACAAAAGTAAATATTTATAAGTATTATTGAAGGTAATTTCACTATAAATGACACCACTTTTTATGTAACAGTCCAGTTAACCTACGGTTACATGGAAGAAATTGCTTCATAGCGCTAAGGCCTCCATTTGTACTTCTCATGTAATAGTCTTAATTAGTTGTAATTGAAAATTTCATGGTGTACAATAAAGTGATCATTCATTAATTCTTAATAGGGTGTCTAATGTTTTTTAGAAAGTGGCCTTACTTGGCCGGTTTTTTATATATTTCGATTCACGTGTCGCATTTTATTGTTAATTTTAAGTACAGACCAAGCGCATTTTGCTCAAATAAGTGGTAACTTCTAATTATTATTTAACATTTAGAAAGTATAATCATGAAACTTTTGTGATTCGTGACTCCTCGCCTATAATAACCAAAATAAATACGTATATAGCAACCAGTCATAAAATAATAATTATAATAATAATAAATTTAAATAAAAGAAAATTTATTATTATTAGAAAACAGTGTTTCACAACCAATTATGCTACCACGGCCACCTACAATGCGAAGAGATAGCGGTACCTTGCAGCTTAAGGCTAGGAAAATTTCGACGCGGCCATCAGGGCCGTGGTAGCATAATTGGTCAGTGCATTCTCCTGGATTGCGAAGAGTGCCGGTTCGAGTCCCGTCCGCTGCCTGGTCCGCGTGGATATTTTCTAGTAAAACTTTTCTTTAGATTTAAACATCTAGCAGTTAAATGCTTAAAAAAATAAAAACATAAGTGTTACACAAGTTTCATAATATAATCATAACAATAATGGCATAAACGAAAAGTTTCTGTGAGACTGATGCGTGAGATAAGTATGGTAACATAACTGATAAAGTTATGTTACTACAGTTTTGTTTCAAGTGTCAGGGTGCAGGGCATATGGGAACTATGTTTAACATGTTCCATGGTCAACCTATTTCGAGAGCAACTAACCATCGGGAATAATCCATATGGATAAATAAAGATAAAATACTATCCCAGCTTTATTCCTAACCGGAAAGATGCTTTTAATATCAGTGACCAATAGTGTGAGGTGAGCGGAAACTCCATGCTAGTGAAATGTGTATTTAAACCCGAGTCGAACATCTGAAATACTAATTAATATTTCGGCTCATGATGTTTCCACGTTTTGTGAGTGATCGTTGGCTAATTTGGACTATTTTTGGCGCGTACCTTACTTTGAGCGATGCTGGTAAGAGTTTTTTTTTATATTAACTCTGTACTCTGGTTGTATTCTTTATTCTTATCTTTAATAGCGCAGATATTAGAATACTACTTTATCTGTGAAATGTATTACGCAACGCAAATAACTTCTGCACGACAGTACCAAATATTTCTTTTTATGTTCATTATACTCGGTTTGTATAAAATAAAATATAAAAAATCTAGCAATAAATAGCTAGAAGATAATAAAAATATAATATAGTTTAGAATGGTTCTTAGATTTATTATTTGGGTTGTTTGTTCATGAAAACATATTTTCATGGACAAACAACCCAAGGGCATGTAGCTAATTCTCATATGTTGCCTCACAGTCATCATCATCATCATCAGCCTATTAATGTCCCCACTTCTGGGTCCCCTTCCCTATGGATGGAATAGGGAGATTGGGCCATGACCCACCACGCGAGCCCAGTGCGAATTGGAGGGTGCTAACGACTGCAGATGCAGCCGGGACCAACGGCTTAACGTGCCTTCCGAAGCACGAAGGAGTTCGAGATAGTAAATTTTTGGTCACCCATTCAATGACCGACCACTGCAAAAGTTGCTTAATTTCAACGATCGCAGCCGAACGCGCTAACCACTTGCGCCATCGAGCTCCTCCTCACAGTACTGATATCTAAATTGTACTATGATTGCGTGATTCTCTCCCTGGAGGTACCCCTAGCTTACAACGTCAATTTAAAGACATTCACAAATCAACATATCTTCCCAATCTTTGTTTGGGGTGTAAAACAAATTATATTCATTTTTATTAAAATAAAACTCTTAAAATATTCTTGCTCGATCTTCGTTCGTTTCGTAAGTTTAAAAGATTCCGATAAAGTATCAGTTTTTTTAATTGATTTCTATGTTTACAGAGTCTTGTGTAACACCTTTAGGTGAAATAAGCCAATGCGTTCCTATAACCAATTGTCAGAATGTCATGTCCCGAATAAAGAACGGTTTAGATAAACAAAGTATAAAATTCTTGAGGCAATCAAGATGTAAAAGCGATTACAAGAATCTTATGATTTCCTGACGAAGTTTATAATAGAGAATATATCAACAGTATTCAGGTAAGAATATTTCTAATAACTATTTTAGTAAAAATAACAATACTTACCTAGACTGATTTGTTTTCCTTAGCTTTGGCCATATGGCGTTTAGAATTGAAAATCTACCTGAAAATCCAGTGTGTCCTATATCTCTTGATTTCATGTGAGTTTTAAGTATTAATGAAGTTTTTTAACATGAAACATTTATAGAGGCTGGTTTAATATAGACCCTTGAGTGGCGATGCTCATAATGGCAAATTCCTGCAAGCTTGAACAGCAAGCTTATGATATGTACAGTAGTTTAGTCGTCGTTTGTGAGAGATTCATTCGTCTAATCCATCTCAAAAAGACTGCAGCAAGTAAAGATTTCAGTTCGAAATAAAATCTCTAACAAGTTCATGAGTTTTATTTCATTGTTTTTATTTTTTCTTCTTCACATATTTCATATCTCTGGATTTTTTCCATTCAATAGTTCAAATAAATTTTAATGTCTTAAAACTGTCAGACATACCGCAGTGCTCCCTTCTTTTTTTTTAATTTACAATTTTTTTCGTTTTCTCTTCAAGACTTCATCCACGAAAAACTTTGATGAGGACTCCTTCTTACCTGAAAGCAACCAATGTGGATTTGAGCCGCTGAGCGACGGTAATCGAATCTTTAGCGGGTCTCGAACTGAAATAGGAGAATTCCCGTGGCTAGCCTTGCTGTGGTACCGCAAAAGTAAGTCAGAAGCATTCATATTATTATGTAAGTACTTACAACCAAAAAGTTAATCGGCCATGAGCTTAAGAAGAAAATATACAAATTTCTCTTAAGCATGATGTAAAATAGTGTCAAACTTTTTTGTGGTACGACCGACATTGTTCATGGATCTTAGGCCGAATTATTTGATACATAATTGAATTTCGCTATAGTTAATTAATTTTTATTTAAAAAAAAGAACTGACCCCATAAAATAATTTAATACCGAAAACCCCATCCAAATTGGATAAGAAATTTTTCGTGATAATCGCGGACAACCAAACTTACAGGTCAATTTACATATTCTACTATGTACTTGAAAATTTTACATATTCTACTATGTATTTGACGTGACATTGACTTATGGCGCAATTACGCTTTGGTCGTATTGGTCGCTAGCCCAAATACGAGTGCCAAAGGAACTGGGTAAAGGACTAAATGTAAATGAATTGAATTTTAGTACGTCCGTATTCGGGTAGTTTTCGTTTTGGTTACCCGACACCGTCTTTCAGCCCATATTCCAGGGCATATATTATGGCTTCGGGTACCCGAATTCGAATAATATCTTTCGTGCCACCGAATACGGGCTAACGACTATACTAAAATATAAGCATTATTTCTGTCACTCTACATTTTTCTATGCTATTTTCCTGCAATTTTGGTTACATTTCTTTATATAGCTATGTAGTATATCATTGATTTTAATTTTCCAGTAACTCGTAAATAAAACTTCTCTTAATTTTCCAGTAACTCGTAAGGGCCGACTATTGACTCACTGAGTTAAGAGAATATTGGGCAAAGAATTGGAAACCAATCTTACCTGCATTCAAATATGCTAAAGTAACCTTCGACTACTTAGTGATCATACGGCTCCATCCACTCCCTCAGGGAATATGGACGTAAATTTTCCTTGTACAAACAAACATTTTTACTGCCTTTATTTCAAATGTGAATACGACTAAGAAGGTGTGTTTGATAAATTAAATAAATTATTTTTTAATAATTCATCAAAACGCCATTAACTTTCGATTTGATATCGTTTCGTCGCATGCGCAATCGCAACGGTACTCCTAACTTTCATTCGGTTGAACCAAGCCAAACTGCGTTCGAAGAGTGTAATTACGTAATACAATTAACACCGAAGGAGATTCAGCTAATAGTCGTCGATTGAACATTCTACCACCGCCACATGCACAGTGGTAATCTACGTTATTATGAACATGAGCAAGATGCAGTGACATAAATGTTCATCATTACTGCGGATGGGCTAGATCTATTAATTGCTTCGTAGCTTATTATTCTAAGATGGAATCCTGAACTCTGTAAAACTCTGAAGATATTTGATACTGACATGAAAAATGTAAGATCTCTCATGAACAGTGGCCAAATTCAATTTGGGGTAGCAGTTGCTTCTTCTGAAATAACGACCATATTGTTAGAAAAAAAATTGTAGTTAGATTATGGTGTATCCGGGACGGAATGATTTCACTGACAAAAGATTTCCGCCAAACAGTGACAGATATTCCAAGATCGACTACAGCCAAAGAATTATAGACTTGCCTCTATTAATCAGTTTGTAGCGCCATGTAATGAATTTTAAGTTGGCAGTAAATATGAAAGTTACATGGCAAAATAATCAATCTACAGAAGATTCCTCCAAACAATTGGTAACTATGGTAAAAGCTGTGTTCTTGTCGAACGGATCGCTTTCATTTCTTCCAAATTATTGTAAGTGGTACGAAGAATGCAGGTGCAGCTAGTAGTATATAAAAGATAATACATGCTTTTCAGTCGTAGATTTCGGAAACTTCAAGTTTAAAAAAATATAAGTAAACGTATCATGTAATAATAAGAGTTTTAATTTTCTCTACTAAAACATAGAATATTATAAGAATGAGTGTTAGGAAGAATAAAGTACAAATTTTTTGTTCTGTATATGCGATGTGTATAACACACAAACCTTTATATGCCTTTAGCTGATAGTTCAGCCTTTTTTCTAAGTTTGTTCGCTTTTGTTTCATCGTCATCATCAGCCTATTAATATCACATGCCTTCCCTATGGATGGAAAAGAGAGATTGGGCCATGATCAAAGGCCCAGGGCGGATTGGCACTCTTTTGTTATACTATAAAAATATAGAAGGGCTGAAGTTATTGAAGTGAAAACTTCTTTAACACCGTTGTGATTTGAAACTCTATGAAACGAAAAGCGACAGTATTTGACACATGGTATCCGATATTTTGTAACTCTCTGCAAGAGACAGATAGCCGAATGGTAACAGTCTTGGGGTCGACACCAAATGATCGGAGGTTCGATCCTGAGCTCGGATATTTTTTAATTGTTTTTTTTTCTTTTATAAGCTATTATTTATTTTTCGAGACAATTTATGTATAGAATATTTAATTTTGCCCAGTATTTTACAGTACCTAGTCTTTTAAGTGTTCACATTTTTGTAGGTTTCACTTCTATCGTATGTGAACAGCACATGTCGGTTCTTTTTTTCTTAAGTTACGTTTTACACCTGGCGCGTTTTAGAACTTCTACAGACATAAAACTATGTTAATATTCAAATGTAGCAATAGCGAAAGTTCAGAAGTTTTTAATATATTGTAACACTAAAATCTGAGTTACATTTCTTTGGCACCAGAGGCGGGGAAATTTTGTATGAGATTTGGCGGGTCTCCTTTATCGATTGATGTTAAAGTAGAGTTATGTTATATGGTATGATATTAAAATAATTTTGAGACTTAAACGAAACCTATCGTGGATTTCAGATTCTAACAGGACCCTGAGCCACGAATGCGGTGGTATGCTCATCAATCATCGACATGTATTGACAGCGGCACATTGTGTCTCTGGACCAGAACCCAGGCTCGAACTTATTTCTTCAGTTCAGGCAATCGCAGTGTACTTAATGCGGCAGACAGTAAAGTCCCACCACTTGTCATAGTAGTATAACTTTTTTAATTCGAATTTAATTTTGATACTTCGACTTTTCCTAAGCAATTCTATAATTGTGTTTAATTATTTAATTCTTATTTTTTAATAGAGTATCTGTCACTCTGGGTGAACACGACGTAAGGAACACAACAGATAGCATAGACGGCGTATGCTCCGCACCACCGCAGACAGTGGAGGTTCTAAATGTTCACCCTCACCCTGGTTACATCAACGAAAGGTTTATTAAGCGGAACGATATCGCCCTAATCAGACTTGCGAGAAGAGTCGAATATACAGGTACAAAATATCTTGTATTTGATACACGAAATTTTGATTGGTTTTGCTAAACCTACTCGTAATGGCTGCGCTCAGAAATATAATAAACACTAAAATCTTATGATTTAACGATCACCAATTATTTGATAAGATCAAATTTAGTAACAGGATTTATCGAATTCTTACATTATTCTTGATGTTTCGTCGAAGTATCCTCGACATTAAGAAACATCAATTATTTTTTTAACTTTTAATGATATGCATTATTTATTTTGCAGATTATGTCCAACCAATATGCTTGAACAAAAGTGGATTGTGGGAAATTGGAGACGAAGTGTTTGTTGCGGGATGGGGAAAAGCTCTTGGAGGTAATTGAAAATTCAATTGTTAAATATCGGGAATCTTGTCACTCTGAAATCAATATACCTACCCCTTGGAGCACAGAAACGGTACTTGCCGCCAGATACATAACACCACATAATGGTAGTTAATTTTCTGTGGACCTCTGTAAGGTGGAGGTTACTGCCCCAGAGCACGAGCATGAGCACTCTGATCCGAGCGGGAAATCCGCTATAACCTACCTATTATTTAGATATCTGTAAATTTACCCAAATTCGAAATTTTATATCAATAACTGTTAAAAAGGTGGCCAGGATTTTGTGACGCATATCGACGGAATTTCCATATCCTAATAGCGAATGTCGATATATTCATTTCGTACCTGTTGTGATATTTTGTATATCTATCATATTAAAAGCGTTAACTCTAAAAACAAGTCTTGTTTTCAGATGGTGGCAGTAGTCCCGAGAAACTAAAAGTGTCTCTTCCAATAGCGAATCAGTCGGAATGCTCACAACGATTTGACCTACTTTTGAAATCTACCTAAGCAAGTCGCAAGTCTGCATCGGAGGCAAATTCCGAGAGGATGTGTGCCAAGGTGACTCTGGAGGACCAGCTATGAGGCAAATTGATGGAAGATGGGAAGCAATTGGATTAATTTCCTTTGGTTACGGGTTTGGGAGGGAGAATTGGCCAGCAATATACACCGTAATCTCTAGCCACCGCAATTGGATTGAAGCAACTTTGAAGCTGTCTTTTCGCGATGTCCCGCATTAAGCAACAGAGAACTTCGTGCCTCGCTATATATTTGACAAAAGCGCTTATAAGTGCAAATAAAATATTTAACAATTTGCCCAATTACATTTAAGAATTCAATTTATTGGAATTTAAAATTATATTAATGAAATGATGGAAAACAGATAACTGTTTTTTATAATTTAAAAGAGTATTTTCGAAAATTTTAATAGGATTTACGTTATATTTACTTTAATATATTGTACCTCCGAAACAATTTTTTTATATAAATTTTTTTCTGCTTGATTTAATTAAAGCAAAAAAAATTTTCCTGAAGTATTTTTTTATAAACAATTGCTAAAAACTGAAAAATATTGTTTTTTTAATTTTTCCAACGGGGATCTATTCTAAAGCCTTTCAAGAATTGCTCCAAGAGAGGAAAAAAATCTCAAATTTATAGTTTAACAATAATCACACTTGCAATGTTCATGTTCAAGCGGAAAAAATTTTTTAATTAACAATTGCATAATTAATTGAAAAATTGTGATAAAAATTTTTTTCACGCGGATTATTGTTCATTCATCTATCCAGTAAGCCCCTGATTTTTTTATTTCTTAAATTTTATATTTAACATGTTAAAATATTTTTTATTAATAAAGTGCCCAAAGTAGGCGTGGTTTACGCAAGCCAGAGGAGCCGTTTTCGGCCATATTTTCATCCCTCTGGGAAAATTATAAATATAGGTCCTACAGTTCCGGGAGTCGGGGCTTTTTTAGGAAATTTCCTCCTCTTTTTGAATCTTTTTTTTAATTTTAAATATCTTTATTAGTTTTTGAGATATTTGCAAAAAACGAAACCCCCCCTTTTTTTTAGTTTATTGTTAATAACTTTTGCAATTTTTGTTTGCGGAACTTCATTTTTTTCAAAAATCATCTAGATGCCATTCCGAATCGAATGACACCTCGATCATAATTTTCGGAGACTGCTGAAAAAAGTTGACCAAAAAGGCACTTGTTGACTAGACTATATTGCGCGCAAGCTTACGAGCGGTGGAGGTATGGTTAATTACACTTGAGTTTTAAATGTTTGTATTTTGCTTTGGATTCGGACTGGAAAGCTGGTCTCTCTTTTTTTGAACTCACGTTCATATCTTATATTGATAAATTAGAAGCATTGTAGTTTAACCTGGATTAATCAAACGACAAAAACGGAATCCTTATAGGATCACTCGGTTATCTGTCTGTCTGTCACAGTCGATGATTCATAAAATAGACATTATTTGTGATTTGCTCGGAATCTACTGGACCAAGCTGAAATTTGGATCATACATGAATCGAAATCAAAAAGGATTTATTCAGTCTAGGCTATTACAAGCACTTATCCAATATCATTGGTTATCAACCACTATATTTCCATTTTGAAATAAACTAGAAACCTACTAACGCGCCAACACAACGCCCTTCCATACCCGTCAACTTTTGTTTATGACTTAATGTTTTGTCTAGCTCTCCAGTCAGACCGGAGAACACGACGACATACACACACAAAGAAAAGTTTGCGATCACCTTGTAAATAGTTTTTTTTTTGTGTTACAGAAGCCTTTTTTGTAATTTCTTTTTCTGATAAGATTCTTAATTTTAAAATTGGAATTAGAACGTAAACAATTTTTTTTTCATATCAGAAGATATGCAATCCAAGCTGATACTCATTCAGAAATCTGACTTAGTCAATATTATCGAATTTAAAATATTTATTCAGGGAAAGTTATGATTTAAAAAAATGCCACGAGGATTATCAGATGTTTTAGGAGCCAGAATTGCAACTTTGGGGGAAGAAGGCTATTCTACGAGAGAAATAGCACGCAGAGTTGCTATATCCCAATTCTGTGTAGTAACCACGTTGTAGAGGTACTACGGCATGGGTAATTTAGCTGATCGACCCTGCAGCAGTCGCCCAACTGTTTTGACAGCTGCTCAGAAGCGCTACATCAGGTTTGTGGTAGCACGCGACCTAACAATAAACGCCACTAAATTAAAAGCAGAAATACGGGCCACCTCCGGACTTGAAGTTAGCACTCAGACTATTCCGAATTGCTTACAGAAGGCTGGATTACGAGCACGGAGGTCTTGGCGAGCACCTTTGAATTCACGGGAACTTCAGCGACGGAGATTACAGTGGGTTCGAAGAGGAAAACATTTGGCAAAACTTCATCTTCGTTGACGAATCGCGTATCAGTACTCATCCAGATTACCGACGTGTCCGTGTTCGGAGAAGACCTGAAGACTCTGAAAGGTAAAAAACGGCCACATGAACGGTTCAGCAAGGAGAGAAATCAGTGTCCTTTTGGGGTGGTATTATGATTGAAATTGAATTAAAGAAAAAACATTTTATAGAAATATTGAGTTTGTTAAAGAACGTACACAGTTACTACAAAAATTAGATATTTGCCGTTCCATAATTGAAGAAAATAGATTAACATATGAACAAAATATGGAGTCATTGAATATTAAGTTAAAAAGCCTTCAACAATCATTATCTAAAATGACTCAGAATTATAATAACTCAAAAAAACAGATAGATGAATACATTCTGGCCTTAAAGTGTCTATCTAACCCCTCCCTTCACGAAGACACACCTGTAAAGTGTCACTCTTTGGTATCGAATCAGAGCATTACTGAAGAAAATGACACTGATCCAGTATGAGTGTCCTTGATTAATAAATCTGTTCACTCAGAGACCACAATTAGATGTAATTCTTTTAAGCAGAGAAACTTTCATAAGTATATAATGTTATGTGACGAATTTGGTAAAGATCTGGGTTGCTTACTACAAAAACAGCTGGGTGAAAATACAATTAATTATTGTTTGCCAGGTGTCACAATGCACCAATTAATGAAGAAAATATTAACTCTTGAACTTGACAAAAATACAAGTTTAATTATTTTAATTGGTAATAGAGGTAATGTTGGCAAAAATGACATTATGACTTACTATAACTCTTTGTGTTCTCTAAATGTAAATAGAATAGTTATGTATACATTTCCTTATAGTAAGAGTCTATCAAGTGAAGAAAATAATATTAGGTACAGGCTAAATTTGACATTAAGTACCATGTCTCAGTATAGTGGTCAAAAAGTACATTTAATTGATATAAATAAATTAATATATAATTTTAAAATGACAAGAGATAAATATTATCTTTCATATTACCATAAGAGACAAATAGCTTCTTCGCTATTATTTTATTTTACACACATAGCCAAAAACTTGGCTAACACTACTGCTTCTATTGAGCAGCATAATTATGTGGATCAGACTTTGGAATTTGTTCCAAATACTGACATTAATTGTAATTTAAATTAGTTCGTAAGACAACAGAGGAGCTCTCTAGCTATATCAAGACCAAGGAAAAGTCTAAATTTCTAAATATTGTTCACCAAAATATACAAGGCTTTTCTGGTAAAGACTTAGAACTATGCTTATTTTTAAATACAATGAATATAAACATTTTATGTATTACAGAGCACTGGCTCAGAAATTATGAATTAGTTACAGGCTTAGATAATTATACAGTTGTTAGTAGTTTTTGTAGGAAATCGGCTATCAGGGGAAGCTCTCTCATAATCTTACAGAATAATCTTAAATACAAAGAACGTGCAGATATTGTTTCACTTTCAGTTGAACGTAATGTTGAACTATCTTGCGTGGAACTGGAAGAAATGATCATAATATGTGTATATCGACCCCCATCTGGGAATTACACTCAATTTGAGTCCGCTATGGAAGACACTTTCAATATAGTATGTAAATGTAATAAAGTGGTTGTTGTGTGTGGTGATTTTAATATAAACATTTTAGTTAAGTGTCCATTAGTGAGTAGGTTTCTAAACTTATTTAGATCATATAACTTGAAGCATACCTTCTTTGAGCCTACCCGCATCACACATGCATCAGCAACCTGTTTGGATAATATTTTTTGTAATAGAAATGTTTTTAATAAATCAATAATAAATTGTATTAATTCTGATCATAGTGGACAATTAGCCTCTATTGAACACCATCATGCTTCACCCAAACATGACCTAACTTGTAGACCAATTACACAAACGGGTATAAATAAATTTCAAGATAACGTTTATCACAAAATATCGAACTTACCAGTTTGTAATAATAATAATATTTTGTATGAAGATTTATTCAATTTAATTAAAGATGAATTCAATAAAATATTTAAACGCAAATTAATTAAATGCCATAGCTCTAAAAAGAAATTTAGTGATTGGGCCACACCGGGTATTTACAAAAGTAGAAATAAGTTGTATCAATTATATGCTCTCAAGGCAACCTCATCTGATCCTAAGTTTATAGAATATGTCAAAAACTATTCAAAAACTTTTAAAAAGGTGTGTGCCATAGCAAAGTCTAAGTTTTTATCTAAAAAAATTAGTCTTTCCGATAATAAAATAAAGACAACTTGAAATATAATTAATAATGAAACTGGAAGAAATAAATTTAATGAACATACATATTCTTTAAAAATAGACAATAAGATTATTAGGACAGATGATGCCGTTGCAAACACTTTTCAAAATTTCTTTTCTAGTGCACCATTTGAAACAACTAGAAATCTTAATTCTTGTTCTAGGTTAGCAATGACCCTCCTTGAGTCAAGTGTTGATAAGTGCAGTAATGATTTTCATTTTAGACATATCAGTAGTGATTGTATTATAAAAACTTTTAATTCAATTAAAATTAAAAAGACAGAGGATTATTGGGGAATATCAACATATATAATAAAACCGATTATCACTGTCATTGCGCCACAACTGGCCATTATATTTAACAAATGTATTGATGAGGGAGTGTTTCCAGATCTAATGAAATGTGCTAAAGTTATCCCTCTCTTTAAGGCTGGTGAGAAATCAGATCCCAGCAATTTTAGGCCTATATCTGTATTACCAGCGCTAAGTAAAGTATTTGAGAAAATAATTTATAACCAATTACTAGCACACTTTTCTATAAATAAGCTATTTCATTTAAAACAGTTTGGTTTCACTAGAGGCAAAAGTACTACTGATGCTGGAACTGCACTTCTCAAACACATCTTTGATATATGGGAGAGTAAGCACGATGCTATTGGCATTTTTTGCGATTTATCTAAGGCATTTGACTGCGTTAGCCATGAAACATTGTTAAATAAAATGAAGCATTATGGTGTATCAAATATTTCACTAAGTCTGATACAGTCTTATCTTTCTGCTAGGATTCAGAAAGTGGTTATAAATCAAGCTGAGTCTACAGGAGCACCCATTTCTATGGGCGTGCCCCAGGGTTCAATAGTGGGCCCATTGCTTTTCCTTATTTATATTAATGACCTTCCTCACTTTACAAGAGATTTGTGTGAGACAGTACTATTTGCTGATGACACCTCTTTAGTGTTAAAAGCTAGGAGAGGAAATGATTGTTATGACGAAGTAAATTGTGCTCTCTCTGAAGTCCTTCACTGGTTTACGGTAAATAATTTAAAACTAAACTCTAGTAAAACAAAATGTGTTAAGTTTACTTTACCTAATGTGAGGCAGGTTAATACTAGTTTAAAAATAAATGACCAGCCTGTAGAGTTAGTGGATTCTACAAAGTTTCTGGGTATTACTTTAGACTCGCATTTGCAATGGGATCCTCATATTGATGCCTTATCAAGTAGACTGAGCTCTGCGGCTTTTGCTGTTAAAAAAATAAGACTTCTAACTGATGTGGAAACGGCAAGATTGGTTTACTTTGGTTACTTTCATAGCGTTATGTCATATGGCCTTTTGTTGTGGGGCTCAGCTGCTAATATAGAAAGTATTTTCGTACTGCAAAAGAGAGCTGTTCGCGCCATATATAATTTAAAGGCAAGAGAATCTCTTAGAGAAAAATTTAAAGAAATTAATATTTTAACACTGGCATCGCAATACATTTATGAAAATTTAGTATATGTAAGAAAAAACTATGACGCATTTTCAAAAAAAAGTCAAACCCATAACTTTAACACGAGATATAATAACAAACTTGCCGTTCCATGTTTCAGACTCCAAAAATCAAGAGGTTCATTTCTGGGATGTAGTATTGCATTGTTTAACAAAGTTCCCCAAGATCTGATTGAGCTTCCACTAACCAAATTTAAATCTCAGATTAAGAATACTCTTATGAATAAGGGCTATTATAAAGTTAATGATTATCTAAATGATCGAAATGCATGGACATAGTGTTTCTTGTAATTTGTTATTTGATGGGTATGAGTCAGTTTTTGAAACAGTAATATGGTACCTATCTAATGCCGCTTCCTATATACTAAATATAAAATTTATTGTAACTATATATCTATATCCTTAATAATGTAATGGAAGGTGACTTCAGATGTATCTCTGAAATCATTTTTCAACTTGACGACTCTGTATATATCAATACAGGGAGAAAAAAGCAGCCCTTGCTGAGTTTCTTGCCGGTTCTTCTCAGTACAAGGTCTCCCGCCGTAGTTTTGCGAACCGATGGCGTAGCTTCTTGACCTTCACAAGTGCTTGTAACAGCCTAGACTGAATAATTGACTTTTCATTTCATTTCATTTCATTTCATTTCATTTCATTTCATTTTCATTTCATTTCATTTTCATTTCATTTCATTTCATTTCATTTCATTTCATTTCATTTCATTTCATTTCATTTCATTTCATTTCATTTCATTTCATTTCATTTCATTTCATTTCATTTCATTTCATTTCATTTCATTTCATTTCATTTCATTTCATTTCATTTCATTTCATTTCATTTCATTTCATTTCATTTCATTTCATTTCATTTCATTTCATTTCATTTCATTTCATTTCATTTCATTTCATTTCATTTCATTTCATTTCATTTCATTTCATTTCATTTCATTTCATTTCATTTCATTTCATTTCATTTCATTTCATTTCATTTCATTTCATTTCATTTCATTTCATTTCATTTCATTTCATTTCATTTCATTTCATTTCATTTCATTTCATTTCATTTCATTTCATTTCATTTCATTTCATTTCATTTCATTTCATTTCATTTCATTTCATTTCATTTCATTTCATTTCATTTCATTGGGGCTAGAACGCCTTTAATCCCTTATCAAGGCTTCACGACGGCAAACAGATACAAAATAGTCGCTATTGATGGAATCGTCAGACCTTTCCGAGTAACCGAAGTGTGCACCGATTTGTACTGGTTGACGATAATGCGCCCGCACATCAAGCTCAGCGAGTCAATACTGCTCTCCGAGAATACGGGATATCACAAGGTTAGACTGCCTGCCGGCTCTCCTAACTTGAAACCAAAATAGCACGCGTGGGATGCTCTTAAGCGAGGTGTTAGGAACCGGCAGCCACCATTCCAGACAGTGCCGCAGCTCAGGGAAGCTGCTGTTCAAGAATGGGCAGGTTACCACAAGTAATGCTGGATAACTTGATTCTCAGCATGCCCAGGAGGATCTCCGCATGTGTTCGAGCCAGAGGAGGAGTTATTTTGTATAAGATAAACAACAACTTATCATTTTCTAGTAAACTTTTCTTTAGATTTAAACATCTAGCACTTAAATGCTTAAAAAATAAATAAAATCATAACTTTAATTGCTATTTCTTCTTTCAAAATGTTTAATACTTGAAAAAGTATTCATTTGATATTGTGGGTTACCTACAATGCGAAGAGATGGCGCTGCCTTGCAGCTTAAGGCTAGGAAAATTTCGACCCGGCTAATAGGGCCGTGGTAGCATAGTGGTCAGTGCATTCGCCCGGATAGCGAAGGATGCGGGTTCGAGTCCCGTCCGCTGCCTGGTCCGCGTGGATTTTTTTTTTCTACTAAACTTTTCTTTAGATTTAAACAACTTATTAATAAAAGGTTTTTAAGTTAGGTTAAACTATATTTTTATTTCTATCAAAGTTCTATTGTGATCGCCTTAGGATTTTATAAAAAAAATGTTTATTTTTTTAATTTCAGAAAGTGTATTTTTAAATGAAAAAGATATAACATAAACATTTTCTCTTGAATAAGTTACATTTTGAAAATATATCAGCTTTTGGGAGTGATCTCAAACTTTTTTTGATATCTATATTCTATAAAATTGTGTCATCACCTTTGTTTTTAAAATATTTCCGCTGCTTGGACCGCGTGGATTGTTTTTCTAGTTATATTTTCTTTAGATTTAAACATCAAGCAGTTACATGCTTAAAAAAATGATATATCTAAAATGTTTATAAACAAATGTTGCATAAATAATACTCAGCTTTAAAAAAGATATCTCATATTTTCATATCTCTAAATTCAGTCGCATAATTTTAATAATTAAGTATTAAACGAAGGTCAGTTTCGTAAACAGCCTACGGGTTAAAATATTAATAATAAATACTTAAATTAAAACCAGTTTGTTGCAAGGAAAAAATAACTTTAATCGAAACTAGTTATTAAACTACAGTTTCGTTCAAGTGCCAGGGTGCAGGGTATTTAGGAACTGGTTTTAATATGTTTCATTGCCAACCCATTTCGAGGACGACTAACCGTCGGGAATAACCAGATGGATGAATAAAGATAAAGTACTATCCCAGCTTTATTCCAAACCGGAAAGCTCCATTTGATATCAGTGGCCAATAGAGTGAGGTGGGCGAAAAACCCATACCAGTGAAATGTGTATTTAAACTCGTGTTGAACATCAAAATTTTTATTTAATGACTGTTTCGGCTCGAGCTGTTTCGTGTTTTGTGAGTGAGTGATTATTAATTCGTCATGATGTGGTTAAATTGGATGATTTTCGGCGCATACCTTGCCTTGAGTGATGCTGGTAATATTTTGTTTTTACTTAAGAACACTTTCTGTGTGTAAATAAGTGATTCTTTTTTTTTAAGAATAAGTCTATTCAATTTCTAATGTAAAGTATTTTTTTAATCAAAAAAAATTCAAACCCTGTCTTTTTCTTTAGATTTATATAGTTGTGCATTTATTATGTAATAAACAACTATGGCTTAATTGCCAATGTTTGTACCCATTATACAAAAACTACCACTAACGGGATTCGATCCTAGCATTGATGAACCAAAAGATAGGTCATTGAACTAAAATTAAAAACAACTGTAATGTGATTAATACTATAGAAAATTTGACTAGAAACAATCAAACTAGGGCCAGGTGTTGGTTAGGTTTTTTTTTATTATCTGTAGATATAAAATCGAACAGCCATATGGTTCAATAAAAATATAGTTAAGATGTATAACATTTTTAATGATAAATTTCATTATTAATAGCGCAGTCATTATAAAACTATTAAATCTATATAAAAAAATCGCCGTAATGTATCACGCAAATAATTTCTACACACTGCACCAAATTGAATATATTTTTTGTGATAGTTACAAGATTAGCCAAAAAGTATTTTTTTTTAAATCTAGCAAAATAAATTTCAGTACAAAGTGTGCCAGGACAGCTAGTAGATAATAATATAAGGATATAGATGGGTTTAGAATGGTTCTTGGAAATTTCTGTTGTTTGTCGACGATATGATTATTTTAATGGCTAATTGTCACATGTTGAGGGGTTTCCTCCCTAGAGGTGATAGCTTAGATACAAAGTCAACTAATAGGCATTTCTCTAACAAAAACTTTATCACGATGGTATAAATAAAGTCTAGTAATTCTTTATATCCGGCTGTAAAATATACCATTATGATTAAAATCAACACATTTTCTAACTCCTTATTTGGGGTGTAAAATAAATAATGTTCATTTTTATTTAAATGAAGCTCTTAAAATGTTCTTTCTCGACCTCAATATATACTTTTCTTTTATTTATTTTGATATTTCCAGAGCCATGTGAAACACCTTTAGGTCAAATAAGTGAATGCGTTCCTATAAACCAGTGTCTAGAAGTCGTGTACCGAATATCTAACGGTTTAGATCAACAAAGTTTAGAATTCTTGAGGCAATCAAGATGCAGAAGCAGTTTCCAGAATCCAAGGATTTGTTGTGGACCATTTCCTGACGATGTTTATAATAGAGAATATAGCAACAGTATTCAGGTTAATAATATTCTATTAATTATTTTAGTAGAAATAAGAATACTTGCCTAGACTGATTTTTTTTAACTTTGGCCATATGGCGTTTACAATTCTAAATCCACCTGAAGATCCAGTGTGTCCTATATCTCTTGAATTAATATGATTTTTAGTGTGCAACAATGGCAAATTCCTAGAAGCTTCAACAGCAAGTTTATAATATGTACTGTAGTCTAGTCATTATTTGTGACAGCTCCTATTGTCTAATCCATCTCAGAGAGACTGCAGCAAGTAAAGATTTTGGTCAAAATTGAAGCTCTAACAAGTTTTATACATTTTTTTTAAAAAACTTTTTTTTCGCTTAATATTTCAAATAAATTTCGGTGTTCTTCATCTGCCGGACTTCTCGCAACGCTTACATCGTTATTCATTACTCACAAAATTTTCTTATTCTCTTCAAGCCTTCTTACACGGAATACTTTGATGAGGACTCCGTCTTACCTGAAAGAAACCAATGTGGATTTGAGCCCTTGAGCGACGGTGATCGAATCATTAGCGGGTCTCGAACTGAAATAGGAGAATTCCCGTGGCTGGCCTTGCTGTGGTACCGCAAACGTAAGTCAGAAAGATACACACAAAATTTGACACATTTTACTATGTATTCACGTGACATTACTTAAAGCCAAATTTAACTATGCATCAAACAACGTGGCCTTAGACAAATGCAGCATTATTTATATTCGACTAAGCGCAACCGTACATTGAGCTACTAAACGCGTCTACAAGTGGTTCAATCGAGCCATTGAATGCAGCTACTGATGGCTGCCGTTAGTGGCTTACTGGCGGCCACATTCCGTTTTTTCCGTCGAGGACCTTTCAGGGGTCGAACGTGTTTGTAAAATGGAAACACTGTTGACGTTTATTTCACTGAGAAGTTTATTATATTAAGAACATAAGAGAGTTGTTTTATATCAAATCATTACTTAAAAAGCGCTGTAAGTCATTCCTTCTTGCAATCCAGAATTATCATGGTAACGTACAACAGATAAATTCTCAAATAACGATACATAAATATTATTCGAAAAAGGTAGAAAATACGCTGAAATATTCATTAACTAAGCATTGTTTAATTTATTAAATAAACTAAATACGTATAAAATTGTTTTCATAAGAACATGCCAACTTTTTGAAGACGGTACCTACTGTGGCCGAGTTTGTGCGCGACGCAAGCGTCGAAACGTGGCCACTCCCGCAGCTCAAACGCGACCACTCGAACACTTAGTTTTAGCCATTCTATACAAAAGGAATGAAAAAGCTCGACAGCACCTTGTAATCGCGTTTAGTGGCCGCAACTATAGGCTCAATGTGAGGTTGCTCTAATCTAGACAATAAATATATGGAATTGCTTGTCGTAATTTATATGTGTAATAAACATTCGTGTAATGTAATCTGTGATTTCATCGATTTGTTTTTGTCCGATATAATTTTCAATAAGTTTATGTTAACAAAACCCTTCGTTTGCTAATCCGACTCGAACCGTGACCGTCTTCTAAGTGTTCTACAATGTTTGAGTAGGTACACTGTTAATCAAAATATATGATTTGACAGTAATTTTAATTTTAAGCAAAAAATTTCGAAAATAATTTGCCTTAATAGTGGTAACATAGAATCTTTATTATAGCAGTAATAACGGACAGTAATTGCATGTAATATGGTAATAAAATATTTTTAAATCCAAAACTAAACCTATCGTGGATTGCAGATTTAAACGGGGCCCTTGATCATAAATGCGGTGGTATGCTCATCAATCATCGGCATGTATTGACAGCGGCTCATTGTGTTACTGGCAGAGAACTCGCAAAGTATGGGAAACTGTAAGTATAGCATACACAAAGACGTGACATAAATAAACTCAGACTCAAAAAATAACAGTTCAGGCTTACAAGCATATTTGAATGTCGAAAAAACTACGCCAGGCATCGCATCGGTTCGTAATCTACGATGGAAGAGGTTGTACTAAAACAAACCAGCAAGAAGGTTGTATAACTTAAGTTGGTTGGAGGAGCTTGATGATACAGTGGGGAGCGCGTTCAATCTGCGGTTGTGTAAATTAAGAAACTTTCCATAATGGCACCAAGGAGGCTACATCCCAGTAATTTTAGTAAGTGGGGCTCCCCCACCCCGGTCCATAGAGCCGTACGTATGGCCTGGTTTAGGGGTTGGACGAGTGAGGGTAAAAGAGTCTCCCATAACCCCGTTGCCGTATCTAGTGGCGGAGATAAGCGTCAAGCATTTTCTCTGTGTGAATAAAAGGTCATTCCATAAATGGCCGAAAAATTACACGTTAAAGCTTTGGTACAGGTTATTATTATTATATCTGCCGCTGCTAGGACCTGCTAATCCACTTGGTTGGCTATAGTTTTCCCAATCGTATCTACCGGTGTGCAGACATTAATAAAATTACAATTTGATACTTACATCAAAAATATATACCTTTTCAATCAATCAACTCGCTATCACAATCCACTGCTGGACTTCTTCAATTTGTGACACTACACCCGGTTCTCTGCTTTCAACATCCAGTCTGACCCAGCTGCCCTCTTCAAATCGACGGTCCATCTAGTTGGGGTGTGTCCTACACCACATGGACTCCACTCGTGGAATCGTCTGCTCCAACGGCCAGCGCTGCTTCGACAATATTTCCTTTCATGACATAAAATCATAACAAAAAGATGGTTAATACTAGCGTATTAAACGCAAACGCAAGGGCATCATTTCTGCCTTGAATTCCAAGTTAAGAGATAAATCTATCGCAGTACTTAATATGGGGGACCTTTTTCAAAGGGAAGTCTCTCTACTACTCTCGCAATAATGACTTATCATTCGATTTTTATTTTGTTACTTTGACTTTTCCGAAACACTCCTTTAATTGCATTATTATTATTTTTCGAATAGAGTATCTGTCACTCTGGGTGAACACGACGTAAGGAACACAACAGATTGCATAGACGGCGTATGCTCCGCACCACCGCAGACAGTGGAGGTTCTAAATGTTTACCCTCACCCTGGTTACATCGACGAAAGGTTTATTAGGCAGAACGATATAGGCTTGATCAGACTTGAGAGAAGAGTTGAATATACAGGTACACAATAACTTCTATTTAATACATGAAATCTTCATTGATTTTCCTAAAACCTACTCGTAATGGCTGCGCTCAAAAGCATAGTAACTACTAGACTGTTTTTTAGGAGCATAGTAACTACTAGACTGATTTTTAGAAGCATAGCATACTAGAATTATTTGATAAAATCAAATGTAGGAACCGGGATTTATTAAATTCTTACATTTTTCTTGACGTTTCCTCTAAGTATCCTCTACATTTCGAAATATCAGTAAAAATTTAAACTTTTAACAGCCACGTAACCTTGAGTGTAGCTGAAACGCCTCTCAAAGATAAAGCTTGTTCAATTTAAGAAACTTATTAAGAAACCTATAAATTGAGAATGTTTTAGTATTTTTATTTTATTCTGGTATACATTGTTCGAATATTGGTTAAACAATTCTTCTGTAAATGGGTTGTATGTGAATATTGGTTTTCAGATTATATCCAACCAATATGCTTGGACAAAAGTGGATTATGGGAAATTGGAGACGAAATATTTGTTGCGGGATGGGGAAGTACTCTTGAAGGTAACTATTGAATATTCAATTTTAAAATATAGGGAACATAAGATATCATTTTTGTTTGAATAAGCTTCAGCCATCAATACTTTGCCACCTTGAAATCAATATCCTATACTTTGGAGGCCAGAAACGGTACTGACAGATAGAAAAAGAATTCCATATGATGGTAGTTAATTTACTGTGGCCTTCTGTACTGTGGATGTTACTTCCCCAGGTGAGCCTCTGATCTGAGCGGCAAATCTGCTATGATCTGTATCTACATATATCCAAATCCGAAATTTCCAATAACATCGTTAATATAAAGGTCGCCAGGAGTTTATGACGCATATCGACGGAATTTAAACAACGTTCATAATCTTCAATATCCAAATAGCGAAAGTTGTACTAAAAATAATTCTTGTTTTCAGCTGGAAGAAGTCCCGAGAAACTTAAAGTGTCACTTCCAATAGCGAATCAATTGGAATGTTCACAACGATATCGATCTAGTTTCCGAATCAACCTAAGCGACTCACAAATCTGCATTGGAGGCAAATTCCTAAAGGATGCGTGCCACGGTGACTCTGGAAGTCCAGCTATGAGGCAAAAGGATGGGAGATGGGAAGCAGTCGGATTAGTTTCCTTCGGTTACGGATGCGGGAGGGAGAATTGGCCAGGAATATACAGCGTAGTCTCTAGTCACCGTGATTGGATTGAAGAAACTTTGAAGCTGGCTTCTCGCGATGCCCCGCAATATGCCACTGGGAATTTCGCGTCTCGGAGATTCTCTCCTACATTTGCACACAGCGAGTACTAGTTCCAAACTTACAAACTAAAAAATCGCGTCGGCACCACCGCTGCCGCTGGCCGGGCATGGTAAAATGGACTGTACTATAAGAACTTATGTTGTTAATAAAAAATAAATGTTTGAAATTCCAATATATTTTTTTTACTTGATTACATAGATGAGTGTACAAGTGGCGGACTTATTGCCATTAGGCATTTTATACCAGCTAATTAAAGAATTGCAGCAAAGATCTTAAGAAGGCACAGATAGTGTAATCCACGAAGATGCGCCCCACCAATATTTGGTTGAAGGACAATTAGTGATAAAAAGATAATGAGATAATTATCATATTATTATATGATTATTTATAATTATATTAGTTCAAATATTGGCGGAAGCAGGCACACATTTATTATAAACGGTTAGGAGGAATAGTGGGGCGCGTCTTCGTGGATTGCAATATCTGTAGTGCAAAAAAGAAATCATCAAATTATTTAATTATAATTAACGTATTGACAAAAGATGACGTATTGATATTTAAACTGTATATAATGCATATCTATTTAAATACATAAACTATGTAAATAAATATATACATATATAGATGTAAACATACAAATCTAGATGCAGAGGAGGAATCGAAGAAATTATGACGTATCAGGCGTTTAAAAGCTAATTTATTCGAAGCATCTTGAATATGAGTAGGCAGTGCGTTCCAGAGTTGTATAGCTTGAAGAGACAATAAGTTAAAAACAAAACCAGTACCGTGAGATGGAATAGCTAGCTAGTTTGTTGCTTGTTTGCTAATTTTTATTAACGATATTTGTTTCTTAGGTTATCACGCACATCACTCATTAAATAAAACTAGTTTTACGGGTAAGATTGACGTTTCGCATCCTTTTCAGGAATAAATAAATAAATTCAGTACATCTAACCCGTAAAAACTAGCTTTACTTATTAAGGATTTTCATTTTCTTGTTTTTTTTTAGAATGGACATGCTTTTAAACATATTGCAATCTTTCTTTTAAATATTTCTCATACATCTAGTTTCTTAAAATTCAAGTTCGTAATTGAATATCCAACGTTTTTAATACCTTATTTTTCCAACAAATAAAGATACCGGACTTTACCTAATAAGGATAAAACTGCTATTGTAACTGTCGAATCTTGAAAAACAAATAATAAATCTTGTTTGTCCTCTTTGAAGCTATATTGTTGGTAATAGTTAATTCAATGTAAAGGTCATAATAATTCACATAAGTAGATTAAAAGGAAGATTCTTCCAATAATTTACTCACACGAATTAATTAACTGCTAGTCAACGTCCTAAAATACACATTTTCCTTATAGATATTTGGTATCATCAGTAATTTGATTTTAATAATCATTTCCTGCGTTAGTAATGGGTTACTATTTTTTTTTACCCACGCCAATTAAGTTACAAATATGTTCCACCATTAGAAAGAAATGCGGTTTGCTTCACAGAGTTACGAGTTCTGAAAAAAGTTGGTGATTGGAAAATCGTGGTGTGTTGTGTTCCTTTAAAGGTGTAGGTTAAGGAATAGGGTTGAACCTCCTTGTCAAACTGACAATGTGGGCGTGGCTACTGTCTTAAACTGCCTTTTTTCCTTTACAGACGTTATTTTTAGAGTTCGTACGTACCCAAAGGGTAAATCGGGACACTGTTAGTAAAACTCCTCTGTCCGTCTGTCTGTCACCAGGCTTTATCTTATGAACCGTGATAGCTAGACAGTTAAACATTTTCACAAATATTTCTGTTGCCGCATACAATAAAAAGACTAATAAATAAATGTTTAGGTGGGGCTCCAGTACAACAAATGTGTTTTTTTTTTCAGATTTTTTGTTCTATATTAATAACGGCAACAAGTAGACGCTTTAAACATGCCCACAATCCAACGAAATTATATCCAAATAAGTAGCCTTATAAAGGAATTATTATAACGATGCAAAAAAAAGTATTAATAAAAACGAAATATCTACCTTGACATTTTCGAAATTTTATGAAATTCGTGCCATTTTTTTATTTTATATAGGTATATGTAAATACACAGTACAAAAAAACAACAAATTATTCCTACGAATACATCTAAAATCGTTTATTTGAGTCGATAGAGATGATATTTAATTACAAATTAATAGTCTGTTAGTATAAAACCATTAACTAATTTAATTGATGGCTATTAGTGAGATTCGTCGCTTTTAGCGTTTTTAAGTTTTTTTTTTTTCATTTTACAAAATAACTAGCTACCTTCCCCGGCTTCGCACGAGTGCAATCACATTTCAAAATTTATGATTTTCTCATCATTTCTCTACTATAATACGCATATAAATATTCCGCTTAAAACACTCTATTTATTGCTGAAAACTGCATTGAAACCAGTTGTGCAGTTTACTGTTCAAGAGACTGAGCATGAGCACGAAGGATTTTTCAATTGTTTTTGTGCAACATATCTGTACTATTATATAAAGAGAGAAAAGGATACAATGATGATGAAATATAATGATGAAAGGACAATGGGCAAAACACACCCAGCTCCGCCAACAATGTAATTAGTATGAATCGATAGATGAAAAACTACCCTTTTTTATTATGACACCGTAAAAAAATATCCTGGGAGTCAAAAGATATGACACACGGGCATATTTAAGTAGCTAAATAAATTCACTTTATAGTACCTTTATTTCACATTATTAGTAACCATAATAATATGCCATATCGTACTATACAACCAGATATAAGACAACGCCTGCCGACCATCCTGCGCTTGAACTTACTGAGCCACCTCAACACGGTTTACGGGGGTTGAAGGAAATAGTCCACTCGTCTTACTTCGTTGTGATTGTGCGCTCCCTGTCACTTGATTGATTTTTATCAAACACGCTTTGGATATTGGAACACGATTATCGGTTTTGTCAATTAGTATGGATGAATTGGAATCATGTTTTCTCCGAAGCGTGGACGTGGCGTGGAAGTTTGGGTGATTTGTGGTCGCTCCGTTTTACAAAGAAGACAATTTACTATAACGAACAGAATGTTCATGTAGGTCCACAATTGACGGAGAGATCGGTGAACATGCATAAAAAAACATAGTGCGTGCCTTTGATATTTGAACGTTTCCCTCGATTTCCCCGGATTCCACCATCAGATCCTGACTTGGTTCCTATGGAACTACATCGGAAGTGCACTCTTTCGAATAAAAAAAAGAATTTTGGAAATCAGTCTACAATTGATGGACAAATCGGTGAATATACATAAAAAATAAAAAATACAGTCGAACAGAACCTCCTCCTTTTTTGAAGTCGGATAAAAATCAATCCAGCTGTTCTTGAGTTATAAGTGGTGTGACTAACATGAATTTAAATAAAACTAGTTTTTACGGGTTAATGCACGAAACTTTATTTATTTATTGACGTTTCAATGAAATAACCGAACGCTCAATATAAGTCTTTCGAAGGTAGCTCGACAATTTTAAATAAAAAATCATTATTCTGACGATGCAGACCTGAAAAGGCTGCGAAACGTCAATAAATAAATAAAGTTTCGTGCATTAACCCGTAAAAACTAGTTTTATTTAATGAGTGATGTGCGTGAAAACCTAAGAAACTAACATGACTTTGCTTGATATAGATAGATATAGATAGTGCAATCCAATTTTTGGTTCAAGGATAATTAGTGAAAAAAAGATAATTATCATATTATTATTTATTATTATCATAGATAATTAGTGTGCACCGAAAACACTCAATATTGGCGGAAGCTGGAACACATTTACTATAAACGATTAGGAGGAATAGTGGGGCGCGTCTTCGTGGATTGCAATATCTGTACCTGTAAAAAATATTTTGTTAGAGTGATTGTAGCCTCAATAACAAAGATGTCTATTCCAGTGCTTGAATTCAGCTTCTTATCTGGATGAGCTGGGATAAGATACATCCCATTAAAACTATAGTTGAGAAAACTCAAGAGCGAGAGCCAAGTATAATTGATTAGCTTTGACATGCTGTCGCATTTCTAGATTAGTACTTAGGTGGAGATTCCTGCCAAATAACACTGTAAGGCCCATATTATAGAAAGATTATCAGTGATTGATCTAATATTGAGCTTAGTTTGAAAGGGATGTCGCTATATGTAGCACATAGCGACATCCTTTCTAACTCTACTCAAGTAAAGATCAACACTTAGTTGTCATTCTGTAATACGAGCCTAAGTGAGTAGGAATACCTAAGCTCCTTAGAGTTAAAGAAGAAAAGTCGTTTAGGCCTTCATGGTTAGGATTACTATACACCCCTGCAAACTTTTTGAGCGTCGACCATAGACAAGGAAGCCAGAGAGAGCAGTAGCAATTCAACACTCAAAAACTCTACTGCAAAAGTTCATGTGGTTATCCGTGGTTTTGCTCAAGAAGTTTGCCGCTACCTTTATAGGTACTTATATACAGCGTAAATCCATGATAACAGCTCACAAAGGTATCTGCTTTGTTTCAGCTTTTTTAGAGACATGGGCAAGTTGATTTTCCTCTCAAATTGTTCAATACCTCTAAGTTATTTTATTTAGGTAGGCAAATGACTTAACCCTAACTGATATTAAGTGGTGTTATTGGTCTAGATTCAAGAGGCTTAGATAATATTGGATTTTTGGAAATGGGAAATGATATTTTGGGTGTTACGGGATAGGGAGATATACTCTTGAAGGTAACAATTGTCATATATCGAGAAGCGCGATAGCGCAAGTGGTTAGAGCGTTATTCTACGATCGTTGAAGTTAAGCACACTGCCAATGGGCTTGCATGGTGGGTCACGGTCCAATCACCATATTACATTTATAGGGGAGACCTGTGCCCCAGCAGTGGGGACTTTAATAGGCTGATGATGATGATGATGTATATCCAGGCACGAAGATAGCCGGTGCAGAAATTGAGTCCAGCCTGCCTGCACAAAAGCTTTCTCTACACAAGTAAGTAAGGGCAAAGTAGTATGTTGTTAAGGGTATGTTGCCTCCAGTACACAA